TGTTTACATAATATATGTGGGTGCACTGTGTATAATTATTTTATATATATATAAATACACACACATGCTTGTATATATTTAAGAAATATTTTCATGTATATACTGTATATAGATTTATATATACATTATATTATATATAAATATATTTTATATATAAATAATATTTTTTTCTTAAATATACATGCATGTGTATGTATTTATATATATATATATATATATATACAAATTAATTAAACACAGTGCACCCACATATATTATGTAAACACAAACTTTTATTTTGGATGCGATTAATCACGATTAATCATTTGACAGCCCTATAAATTTACTAGCAATTTCAGAGTGAAAATTGTTTCAAAGAAATGGCAAGTAGTAACACACTGAAATAAAATAATATTCTCTTCTAAAATGTACTCCAATAATCTCTGTTTTAATTACAACTTCGAAAAACTATTTTATTACAGTGAAGCTTTTCCTAAACCATCCACTCCAGCCCTGAGGGGATTTTTCCCCCCCCAAAAAAAATCCCCTCAAAGAAATGAATAATAATTCTTTAAAAATATAGCTATTCGAGTCATCTGGTGAAGTGAAACAAAAATAAAATAAAAAATAATAAAATAAAAAATCGCAGAAAAAAAATGAATGTAGACCCAAAAATGTTAAGCTTTCAAGAAATAAAAGCACCCGAAGATGATCAAGAAATGTCAAGAATAGTGAAACGCAAGCACTGATCATCTATCTCCAGTAAGCTCTATTGTAGCTCTATTAAGTACTCTGCCTGTCCTGACATGCGCTGAATGCTGCACTAGATCCCATGGTGACATGTGAAATGACCCGCCCTGGACCAGAATAACCTGTACCTGTGTGTACCTGTCCCTGACACACCGATACACAGTGGGAGCTTTCCCTGTCAGATCATGACATAGTCCAGGTCCAGCATCGCTCAAAGAAAAATGGTATGTTTATGAGCCATGCTTTAACAGAGCAAGAGGCTGAGAGAGAGAGAATCCAGCTCACGTGAGGCTAAAACTTGGCAGGAAAGCACATAGTTCAAGTTCAATGCACTGTGTATGCGCTGAAAGCCGTGTGCTGTGGTCGCTTTATATTTTCTTGTGCTGAATACGACTGTTGATAACAGATCCAGCTCAAAACAATAAACTGAAATGCAGAAAAAGCTTTGTGGGATAAGTTGCACATTTAATTTAATACTTTAAAACTTCGAGGTTTGCTAAAAGCACTTATCCTACATTACATCATCACTAATAATGTGAAAACGAGCATGTTGGATTGGTTAAGTGATGTTGACAGACCGATTAAATCAGACCGAGTGTCTGTGAAATTGTTTTTGTCATCACACTGATTGATCCTTCACAATCTGTCTCCATCTCGAGGTCTGAAATTCATTAATCTAATCAAGTCCAATTCAACAGCCTGAGTGTCTCACAAAAAGCATAATTAACACTGTTCCCAGCTAATATGCTGATCGGAGCGCTGAAGCAGCCAGACCCAGTTTTAGAAGGACGCACAATGAGGCATTCTGGGTTTGAATCAGATATTCATGAGGACGGTATAATCCTGTTGTGTCTGCAAGGGTTAAGCTTGTCTGAATTTGGGGTGGTCCTGTGGTCTTAGACACTTAAACCCGTGATGTGTGACCTGTTTAAGTCTGTGTGAGTCATGTGAGGACAGTGTAATAGCAGGCAGGAAGAGCGGTGTGACACAATAACCTGTTTTTTTGTGAGGATTTATGAGGGCAGATTTGCTGCCATGTGCATGCCGAATAAATCTGAATAAAGCTGCTTCGTATTCTAGACCGGCATTCAGAGGGAAACGGATTTACTGAGGAAGAGAAACAGACCTTATTCAGAGCAGAGCCGTGACAGGTATGAAAGAGCGGCTGTGACGGAGAAACTTGCCGTGTTTTCAGTGGCATCCGCTGTAAAAAGCTGAATAAAGCTCTATCATTTTCAACAGCTCATATTGTCGGGAGTTTTTTTGTCTACTGAAATTCACTGGAAAGATATTTTTGCAGTGTTTCATCAGCAGAACGATCCAAAAACGCATTAACTAACAGTACGACCTACTGAAGAGGTGATTGTCCATCCCCGAGCCTCGCTTTCATTTCATTCCCGTTAAAAATGGAAGAGGGCGCTGCCGTGAATAGGGTCTATAGGAGATGCACAAAGAATGTTAAAAATGTGTGCACTCTTCAGATTACAAAACAAAATACTTTGTCCAGTGGCCAGGGTCCAAAATGAACAGTAGCCAAGCGCCAAACATGAGTAAAGAAAACTGTTTAAACACAGTGGCCAGCTGGCAGGTACATTTATGAGGTACTGCAATATAATATATGTGTGAAACCGATCCGTCTGTTCCTCGCTGATGTAAGCGACAAAAGCAAATCAATACGAAGACATACAAACGTTCATCATGGCTTGTGCATCGTTTCTCGAAGAAAACATTTTGACAGGTAGAGAGATGCAGAATGGCTTGATGAGCACACAACGACCTGCACCAGTGCTTCCCCTACAATTGTTTTAGGGGGGCGGCCCGCCCCCCCAAAACGCCCCCCCGCCCCCCTCTAAAATGCTGACGAAATCCAGTCATAAAAAAGGATTTTACTGTATATTTTCGAGGAATAAATAGAAAGCGGTTCAGTACACTTGAAATAAAAATCGCGATAGACTAGTGTGTGTGAATATTAAACCACAAATACTATTTAAATACGAATCCTGTTCATATGAATCGTATGTTCCGTGTGAATGAATAGTGCAGCCCAGAGCCGCTTTGGTGCAGCCGACACGCAGTTTTATTTACCACATACACTGAAGACACACGTGTGACGCTTGCGCTGTTTTTTTGCCTATATGAAGACAGAAATGATTGAACTTCCTCTCCAGGCTCTAGATCCACTCTGAAAGTCACTTCGTGATCATTTAACCGCTTCATTTGTGAAACTATCATCATGGCAAACACACAGAAACTCCAAAGGGCTTCACGGCAACCCGTCAAAATAAAAGTTCGGTTTAACTTGACAGAAATATATTACTGTTGTACAGTAGAAATAGGAAATGTCCGGATGTAATAATACATTAACACTAATATGAATAAATCATGATTTTTTTTAAACAAAACTGAATTTAAGGAATAATCCATGTTTTAATTTTAACAGTAAAGCTCATTGTGCAGCACATTATTTGACAAAAAGTTTAGTGTTTCATGGCTTAATTTTACTACCAGCAAAAACACGGAATTATTGTGAATTTTGTTCATATATCTATATATTTAAAAAAAATTAATAATACATTATTTGAATTATTATATATTCTTTTTGATGTCTAATAATAAAAATATTACATGCCCGCTCTGCTACAGCAGCAGGTAGTGTAGTCGTGTACTTTTATCCCCCCCTCCAAAAAAAAAAATCCTAGGGGAAACACTGTGCACTGTTTGAAACTAACACACAAGAAAAACGAAACAAAAAAACAATGAATGTATTTTGGTTTCATAGCTGGAAATATATATTTAATATATTTAATATAAATATTTAAGGCTGATGAATTCAGTCAATTCACTCTCCTTTGGCTGGTGAGGCAAAAAGTTAATTTTGTACCCTAAATGTTACAGTTCCAGTCCACACGCTTGTGTTTAATACCAAAGTTAATATTTATGCTGAACCATAATGGTTGGAGCTCAACAAATACACAGCCGAAAAGAGTCACTCTCACGTCACACTGAGTCTTAAAACAAAGGAGCCATTTTTCTCTCGCTTAAAGCCAAAATGCAAAACATCAAATTAGAATGTCGAACTCACAGCATCAACCGGCAGCTTTAAACACGAACGACCAGAGCACAGGCTGTGCACAGTCACAAACCTCCAAAACCCTTCATTCACCATGCCTGACTATTTCAGACTTCACTTAATGAGTTTTCTTTAAGGCTGAAATGTTTCACACAGACGTGTGTGTTTCTTTCCCTGTATCTTTGGAAAGAGTTTTGGTTTAATCATTGAAGGACGGTAACAGGGTCACCACAAGGACTTGTACCTTTCCAGCGGTCTCCATAACAACACAACCTTCGCCCCGTTTCCTCATTTTCAGTGGTGACTCAAGACACTTCAGGCATGGACTGTTGCGGCACATGTCGAAATCTGTGTGTGGTCATGAGTTAATCTTCAACGCAATGCAGGGAATTCTCATTTCATTCCGTTTGTCTGAAATCTGGGCCAAATCAGATCACAAGCACTCAAACTGAACCATGCATTATGCATTTAATACATTCAGCAATATCTGCCACTGTTAAGAACTCCAAGTAAGGAGTCAAACGTGACGTTAAAAGGCAAAGTACACGGTGTCTCTGGGCTTCTGCAGGTGCGCGCAAGCGTGATTTTACCATGAAAGGGGGGGGAAATAGGCCACAGTCTGTCTATGCCTGGCCGACTGCCTGTGGCAAAGGATCCTGTCTGCTCTCCGTCAATCTCTTTTCTCCTCTCCCCTGCCATAAAAAGAGCTCTCAGCACATCTACTGCCTCAGCGCTTAACATTTTAGATAAAGCACAACCATAAAACCAAAGCGAATTTCAAGAGATTCTGCAATACAGATATTTCATCCATGCAAGCAGCCAATAACGATGGCACAAAACAATGAATGATGTTTTCACTGAATTATACATAGACATGGGCATTTCCAGAGGGTTATTATTGTGCAATCACATGCCTCAAGTCAAGTTTTCAGGCATTGAAATATTATAATGTACAATAGAAAATATAGTTATACCTATTATTTGTATTAGCGCTACTTAAGCTGTGAGACATAGAAATATGAGGCCTGCATAATATTGATCAACTAAAATATCATCCCTGCTAATCTTCATCCGGCTTAAGCATAATCTCCAATTTGAACCCATTCAAGCTTTCGTTTTGAATGCACACCACCATTCTAAATTTGGCTCGGCTGTGATATTCCCACGGCTGTCTGGAGGGATCTTTCCCCATGATACTCACTGTGATGACAGCCTTGCTGAGGCACAGGGAACCACGACAGCCATACTCTCGCTCGTCTTGGGATTTGTAGTAACTCAAAGTGTTGTTCTTCAGCATGACCCAGCGGTCCTGCCATCCGTGAATGTAGTTAGTCCACTGTAGAGGGAACACAAAAGAGGAAATATTGTTAATATGAGAAAACCAAAGAGTGAATGTCTCTGTGAAATATGTGTGGTGCACCGTGGGTTGTTATCATTAACTACTGCAACTAAAACCATAACATATTACATCCGCCATGTTGTCATTGTCATGTGACCTACACTTCTATTCCCAAAATCTTCATGGGATTGTAAAGTGTCCATCAAATAGACAAATTAGAATCTCATCCAAGTACTTTTGGTCTACTGTTTTTTTTAGGTAGGCATATTTGGACCCTGCGAGTATAAAAAACAAAAACTTATGAAAATGGCTAACACAACACAAGTCAATTACTAAAATGAATACAGAAAATATACAAATAAAATCTCATTCAAAATATTAACATAAAGTACATCAATGATACTAAAATAACACTGGCATGCACACAGTCATAATGTTGACTTGTGACAAACACTGGATGCACAATACAACTAATGATTATATTGAGTGTATAGATATCCTCCATGGGGGAGGGGTTCAAGTTGTAGAGTAATTCAGTAATCTCTTATGGAAAACGCTCCTCTCATCACAGCTGTCTGAGTCATGAGAGGTTTTCTCGTTTAATCCCATCAGGAAGAAAAGACGAGCAGATGAACTCTAGTAACCCACACAAACCCGAGCATCAGCTCATGACCTGCTGCATCCCTTCCCAATTATACTGATTATACACGCATAAGGAAAGACATTTATGCATTACATATTTAGCCTAGCATTCATCAAAAAACAGTCTTAGTTAACATAACCTTGAGGCTTAGTGTCTAAAGAGCAGCATATGGTCAGTATGCACTGTAAATCACCATGAAAAATAAAACCAAATTATTATTACCGCAATGCGAACAAATATGTATTTATCATTTAAACTGACTGTTAGCTAAGTATTTATAGTATTTCACCACTGAGGGGACAGAGCATAAGACATTACGGTGGTGTAAAAAAAATGGGTAAAAATGTGTCATTAAAATAATGTTACCATGTAAAATATCTTAGTGATCCATAATTAATACTTTACCTTTTGATTTCAAACATGTTTTTGACAGGATTCGTGACATTAAGCCAACTGACTGACGTTTGTTTACATCGGATCAGGTGGAAACACACACAAAAACCTGCGCTTCCCCGTGTCGGGAGGCGTTATTCGAGATCTTTACCCACCTTACTGAGCACCCCGCTGAACTCCAACACCCCTCCATGCGGTCCGGGACCCGGTTCGGCTTCCAGATCCTCCTCGGAACCGGAGGAGTTCCAGCTCTGGCTGTCCGGCAGGAGCCTGCCGTTAGGAAGCGGGCTGGAATTCATAACGAACGCTCCACTGAGGGGGAAAAACGACAAAAACAGAAGAAATGCGGGACTAATATCAGCGATGAGTGTTCATTAGAAGGCCTCGCATCGATGATGGTGTTGTATATCCAGAAAATACCGAAAAGCAGCGATAAATGTGGAAGTAAACCGTCCGTGTGTTGATTTCATGCGAATCAGTGAGCGCGTGAGGCTGCGCGAGGCGAGAGCGAGAGACACCCGCCCCCTCGCTCTCTCTCTCTTCCCTCTCCCCCTCTCTCTCTCTCTCTCACACTAAAAAAACGCCCTTTAAATCAACATTAGCTGCTAAAAGAGAGTATACTCACTCACAAAAACAAATACGCGAACGGCTCGAAAAAATGTATGGAAAAAAATATTATTGCCTTTCTATTTTTTTCATCAATATTTGAAGGTGGCTTATGGCAACGTCATTCTCAGTCGCTGAAGGCGCGCGTGTGCAGCTGAAGGGGCGCTGGCTAGAGTATGACGTCACCTAAGCCTCGGAAACTTTGGCCCCGCCTTTCCATAGAAAAGAGGTTGACAGTTGAGAGAGTTTGCTTGGCACTTACCTTGGGTTTTACAGCAACAGCATTTTGGTGAATGTACTATTCTAAACTATAACGTTAATAATTCATGTAAACATTAATTATTTACCATTTTTTTGTAAGTAAGTAACGAATATTGATTGAAATAGCTAAAACAGCTTTATGTAGTTGCTAAGGTGTCATGAGTATGCTATGTTTGGTTGCTAGGGTGTTTATTCACAGCATATCAATCACTAACCCTAATATGAAATATAATGATAGTGACGATGGTTCATTTATTAGCAAACACTACAAATAGTGAAATATAAATGTGATTCGGTAAATGAGTTTTGCTTTGACATTTTCCTTTATTGGTTTGTGTTGAGGTAAATTAAAGTCCCCATGAAATCTTTTTTTTTTTTTTTTACAGGTTATTCGTAAAATTCACAATTTTGTCACACAGATTAGGGAAGAAGTGTGGCATAAGTGGTAGAATCCTTTATTGCAGATTCATATAAATGCTAAACAAACATAAAAGTGTGACCCGCTTCCTCTTCCTATTGACCTCTGGTGGAGAGTGTGTAACTTACTTGTGAATCATCATCACTCATGACAATGAGCTTCAAATCAAGCACAGCAGTGTTTGTACTTTAACTTGCTTAAAACCACTCAGAACACCTTAAGAAATGGAGCCTGCAATTTTCAAAACATCCACATGAATTATATGTGGAAAAAAATATTCACTTCAAGTTTTTGGTCATGATGACATTATTCAAAAAGATAGAAAGGTATCAAAAGTATCACATTTATGTTTCATCAGTTTTGCCACATGCAACATCCCTCTGCAAGCTCCATTTCTGAGCACAAGGCTGTGGGAAAACCAATGAATAAATGCATTGAACATCAATAATCACATATTAATGCCAATCCTCAGAATACACAACATGTTTACCTACTGTAAAGTGCATTAGCACATTCAGTTACAGTATGAGTGTGTGTTTATGTTTTTAATGTTAATATGCCTTGATGTATTGAGGTTTACCCTATAAAGCAATGAATGCTGTATTTAAAGTGAATAGTACACATTATAAGTAAGGATGCACTTTTACAGTTAATGTGGCCATTATTAGGCCTTTTGAAACATGGAGACATGCTTAAAACCACTTTAAACACATTATCTAGAGTAATGCAACTAGCATTATGGCGGTGTGGTCTGCAAATGCAAGAATTACTCAAATCTTCTTCAGAAATGTTTGAAATTATGAATCATTCAAATATTCAAATGCATTTATTTAAGCTGTTGACGTGTTTATATATAGTTGTGGCAGCAGCTGATGTTGATTTAAAGAGTGATTTAACTTCCACGCTAGTTTTGTAAAATTGCATTTTGCCTAATAAATGGATGCACAAATTATAGCGTGCAGCTTACAAATGACTAATGAATGTCTCTGTTCAATCAGTCCTCAGTATCCTCCATTCATAGCAGTTGTGCCCATTAGCTGCGCATCATTCCCCTGTGACCGAAGCTCAGATATTCAGGTCACTTTACTCTACTGAGCTCTTCTTACTGGAGAAAGAGAGCTCTGTCTATCATGTAATGCAATACATCACGATACCACCTCATTAGTTTTGCCATTAAGGGTTACACATGCATATCAAAAGCAAAGCATTATGCCCCACCATAAAATGTACCTGACACTTTTCATTTGTTCACACACATTTTGTCTGATAGGTATGGGTGAACTGCCTTCATCCGGATCACTGCTGTGCTGAAGAAGAAAAGGGGATTGATGGATGTTACGGATGGATGAAGGTGAATCAGTGGATGCATCACTATGGAGGTATGATGATTTGAATGAATATGTGTAGATGAAAAAGATGTGGGAAGGTAGAGATGACGTATACGGTTGGGCTTTTTCAAACATGCCAGTCTGTCATGTTCAGTGTTACCGCATCATTACCGCATATGGCTCAAGCTGATTGGCCTCTGCTGATCCTGCAGCCAATGAGATTCTTGCTCAACGTTTAAATAGTCTGGTTCAGTGTTTGCTGTTGAACTCCTCCACCTCCCCAGCTCCACCTGCCTAGATTTATTTATTTATTTGATATGGACGTAACAACAGCATTGGACGAGATACATTGTTTTTTAGTGTTATACTGCATAAGTAGCAAGTCCATACTAGGCCAAACTGCAGACAATTCAAAATCTTTGGATTGTTACCATTTTTTATGTTTAAAGGGATAGTTCACTTTGAAATTAATTTTTGATATGTTTTAGCTTACCTCAAGGGCATCCAAGATGTAGGTGTCTTTGTTTCCACAGTATTTTCCATTTTGATATTTTCCGCTCAAACCGTTGTTGTCTATCAGTCATATAATGCAGGTTTAGGGGGTCCACCCACCCTCGGTTCCCCTTCTAAGAGCATGCACAGAGAAGTCAAAATTAAACATGATTTAATGACCCGTAAATGCAAGTACACATTGATGGCCTAAGACATGAAATGAGCGGTTTGTGTAAGAAAACTAATAGTATATTTATATCGTTTTTACCTCGTGTAATTACAGCCACGTCCAACTAATCTGACGGCATGCGCCGGAAGTGATCGCTTAAATTGCGTGTGTTCGTCACTCATTGTTTACACAGAGATTTCGGAAGTTTTACCTTGGCCTTACTCTGTTACTATTTTTAAAGTTTCCCGATTCACAAAATGACAACATTTTTTAGTTAATGCAATGCCGCATCCTATTCTGTTAACAGTATTCATGTGTTCTGTCCACGAAAGACTATCAATAACCAAACCCAACAGTTTGGCCTTTTCCATCGTTGTATTCTTTGCCCGACTATGTAACGTTAATTCCGATCTAAGCATCAATTTTTGTTTTGATCCAATGATCATACTTTTAGTTTTGGAAATGTTTAGAACTAATTTTGTTTCCACCATTGTGTGTGTGTTTGTCTAATTGAAATATCAGTGGGAAGTCCTTCACCAGAATAAGATGCTGTTTTGTGAGAACTGTTTGTCTCGTCATCATTTAGACTGTTTGTGAAAGTGCCATTCATTTGGTAGTACTGCTTTTCTGTTTTCCTTCACCTCTCACAGAGTGAACGTATCAGATGCAACACACACCGTCTCTCTCCCCCATCTGTCTTACTCATGGGATTGAAGGACTCATGAACATGAGTCAGACACAGTTGACAGTGAAGTGAACATGATCTTATTAGTCATGCTTATAGCAAGTGATTTTACAGCACAGGCACACCCTCATTGTCTCAACCTTCTTTCTCTTTCTGACTTTATGATTAATATAACAATAACAGTGCCGTGTTTTACAGCAGAGTCATCTAATACGGATCTCTAGCTTGTTTGTTTGTCACATATCCTTCCTAAAGTACTTATTCTCTTTTTGGGAAGTTCCTACTTAGGAACGGGTGAATTACAGAATTACAAAATTGAGTTGCAATATTAATTTAAGTACGTGATTATGAAATGAAAATCTATTTTGTAAATGCATGTTTTATTTTTGATTATGAACGTTTTATCATGTATGGCCCGGTTTCACAGACAGGGTTTAGACTAAACTAGGATTAGGTGTTATAAACATGCCTTGACAAAACAATGGCACTGACATATTTTAAGATAAGTTGCTTATGGCTCAAAAATGCATTAGACCAGAACCGGGGGGTGTAAATGTTTATTTTTATGCCATACCTCGATTTTCTGGTGATGTATGCTAGACTTCCAGAGTACATAAACCTTTTCTTACAAATATCTCTGATGCAAGTTCAAGTGATTTCAATCTGATTACTGTAGATACATGATTTGGGGCAGTCGGAGTTGAAAATTTTCACATAAAATTGCACTCAGACTCCATTTTTTAGCTTCAGTCTATAATTCCATGAGGATATTAAACATGTTTGATCGATTATAGAACACATTATGATTTCATATGTGTCTTCTAGCAATGAGATACTGTACATGCTTTGTGTGAGTGGAAAGTCTGGTAGTGAATGATCCTCAGCCGTCTAACACCCAGTCTTTCTCTGCAGCTCTGTACAAAGTGCCTATAGTAGTGTATTCCAGCCTTAAATATTGCATTGTGGTGGCGTTCATGTGCGCATATCCTGTAAATCATTCCAACATGACTTCAAGGCTTTAGATGCACAGATTTATTGTGTGCTGCTACTCAAAAAGTTCCTGGCCTCATCTAAAACATAATTGATTACGACCCTTTCTTCCGAGATATATACTCAAGGGAAATTCACCTCCATTTCCTGTAAAAAGTGTTTTTATGGTGTTCTGTTCAGGGCTGTAAGGGCCTTGTGGCTGTGTCATGTGTTTTGACTCTGGCTCAGAGCCTGGTTCGGTCATAAGACCCATGAAGGAGACCACAAGACCTCCATCAGGACCTCCATTAGTCCAGCAGAACTCCTCCTCCTCCCCCCACACGCTCCAGATTAGCAGCGTTCCTCGGAAAGCCAGGCACGGCTGGGAATTAGACACGTCTCTTGATTATGCGGAGCTGAGTGAGTCATTTGGCATGGCATCCGGTTTAGATTGGTTCAATTTGGTTTAGCGTGGATTTCATGTGACTGACAATAATATTACATAACCACAAAGCCAGCCCGTACGTGAACTGCGGACTTTGATGAAGATGCCGGAGATGTTTAACTAGAGCTGACTTAAGGAATGCTTTTTAAAGAGCAGCATGTGAGATTTAACACGTCACACGTTTCACGATCAGTTCTGAAAGGCTGTTCTAGGTGTTTCCAGATGGTTTCTTTCTTACTTTCATTCATTGTATCCTTCTTACTTTCATTTCATTTTATTATTTAATAATTCTCTTCTGCTCAATTTATCAAGATGATAACAGTAAAAACAGGACTATTGTGAAATTCTATTATGATTAAAAATTATTCAATTCAAATTGA